AAATAAATACACTATCCCTAGTGCATAAAATAATTAAATTTATTTAAAAAACAAAAATGTGCTATTCAAGTGAAACGAAATTTTTATGCTATTTATATACTTATTTAGTTTGTCATCTTTTAATATAAAAATTATTAAAAAAATGCAAGTTTTTTTATTTTTATAATAAAGATTATTAATCACACTACCTATAAAATCTAAAAAAAAATTGTCTTATTTCATTAGTTTAAAAGATATAAAGAAAATAAATTAAATATGTGAAGTGTGCTATTCAAGTGAAACGGAGTGTAAATGTATTTATCAAACAAAAAAATATTTAATTCTTTTCTGTTCTAAAATCTAGTTAACTTCGTTTTTCTTGAACGCACCCGTTCAATTTATAAAAAAACAACAAAATTATAGTATTCAACCAACAAAAAGATAACGTCGCATATCCACTGAAGTAAAAGTTTATCTTAAAATTGACATGGGTTTCTGGGTTTCGATTTTTTTTTACTTTTTTCAAATCCATTTTATTAAAGTTAACAAGTTTTGACAATTATCGTCAGCAACCATTGCAATAATTTTTTGACTTATATCATATTTATTTTATTCTAAAGCTATGACATTTTAAAAATTAATAAAAATAATACTAAACGTGTATTTAATCTCCAACAACAATAGTTGGAGAAAGATGCTCGTCCTCTGATAATAAAAACAAAGATTAATTGAACAAACACGATTCCAAGACAAAAGTTTAGTGTTTGCTTTGAACTCTTATAGATACTGAAAGATAATAATATAATATAATTATAAATTTGTGCATATATTAAAAAAAATAATTTTTAAAAACTTATTAAATATCTCATATCTGCTTTTAGGTATTGTTGCTATTCTTGTAATCCAGTTAGGAAATTTATAGCAAGGAAATAACCTACTCAAATAAGTCATAAGGAAATTTGAATGATATGTCTATTATGCTATAATAATAGGAAATTAATATCCAATAAAGTTGAAGCCAACTGATATTTTACATTAGTTTAGAATAGCACAGAATTACCTACTATTTTCTTACAAGTATTCCAGCTTTTTATTTAAGGATATTTATTTGTTCCGAAAAATATTGAATGATAGGAGCTGTCCAAAGTTGGAGAGTGGATTTTTTTTAAATGCTTTAAAAAAACAAGAAAAATTGAAATATTTGTTATAATTTATCATAAATATTTGATGATATTCAGTTCAATTATTATGTTTATAAATATTTATAACTTTTCTGACAATTCAAGCGGTATCCCTAATAGTGATAAAAGAGATTTTCTATATGGTCCCATCCAACATAAGTTGTATAATTTCTTATTTAATTTTTTTTTCTTTAAGATCATCAATAAATTATTGACTACTCCATATTTTGATAAACTTGAATTAATAAGTGCTAAACTAAGTGCTAAAATTTTAAATAATATCATCATTAACTGTATCATATAATAAGAATTTTAAGCTGGTTTCCAACGCGATTACTTCTGCAGTGATCATATAAACAGATAATAATACTGATCGAACAACTTACGGAGTTTAGAACCATCTTATACATGACATTTATTGTCTACGAGAAAGCTTTCGACGTCCTACGAAGGGAAACAATATGGACAACGCTGGAAACCAGATATATACCGGAAAAGCTAATAAATGTCATTAAATGATGGCACCATTTCCAGGGTACTGCACGTAGACGATTAAGTGATAAGTTTCATACAATTTCAGGAATCAAGCAAGGTTGTCCGCTTCCTCCGCTTCTTTTCATTATCATACTTGATATGATTCTAGAGGTTGTGGATCTCACGCCGTAGAGTATACAGTGAAAATTGAATGAAAGATTAAATAACCTCGCATTTGTCGATGATTTAGTTCTGCTCTCACAGAGCCACAATGAGGTATAGTGTATGATCAACTCCATATCTGAAATGTTGTGTAAGACCGACTAAGAAATAAACTGCAGTAAATAAAAACGATGCACGTAAACTCCCGCAATAAAACTCCATACTCCGTAAACTATTACAGATTAGAGTTAGCCGAGGAATTTGAGTAGTGTGTTGACCTCGAATAGTGGTACTCCGTAAAGAATCACAACTTAGAGTAATCCGACAAATTTGGGTATCTCGATAGTCTCGTGACTCCGAATGGTGGTACTACTCGCGATGTGATAAAACGTCTAGAGAAAGCTAAACGTGCTTTTGTTGTACTCTCTCCATTTTGGAGATCAATCGTCATTAGAAGAACAACATTTTTAATCCTTACATTAAGAAGGTACTATTATATGGCTGCGAATTCTGGCACATGACCAACACTTTAAAACAACAACTACAATGTTTCGGCGACCGATGTCTCAGATGCATCATCGGCATCTTCTCGCCTGGACGTATCACTAATGAATGTTTGACTAGTTAAAAATCAAATCAATCAGTCGGGTTTAGTGGTGTAAATATTCAGGCCTATTCTGAATCGCAAGGGAATGGGAGTTTGTTCCCTGTTCCCAATTCCCCTATTCTGAATAAATTTGGTAAGTTCCCTGTTCCCAATTCCCCTATTCTAAATCGCATGGGAATGGGAGTTTTTTCCTAATTTTGCACAATTGTTGTTGTTCACGAAACTGGTGTCTCCCTAGCGATTCAGAATAAGGGAGCTGTGTGTTCGGGAACAGCGTGGGAATAGGGAGTTTTTTCGCTGGGAGTATTCAGAATAGGCCTGATTATATTTAATATAAAAATGTAGTAAACAACACAAATATTACCAAATATTGGGCTGGGCTAGCTATAATGTGATAAATCGATAAAAATAGAATATTTAGTCCTTTTTATGGAATACGTTTTATTAGTTAATGAAAGAATTGTAAGTGTTAGGAAGCTAACAACTTTTTTTATTGGCTGCTTAGAATATAGAACAGCCGATCGCTATTTTTACTCAAACTTATAAATGGTGGAAAAATCATATTTTTTAAGTGAATCCCATCAGGAGAAGGTCCCATCAGCAAGGTTTTTTTGGTATTTACTAAGAAACTTTCGTAAACTAAATAACATATTAAATCGATGGCTTCAAAATTTTGCAGTCCCCGCTAGAACTATAATATTGTACTTATACTTAATGGTCACAATGGTGTTTTTTGTGCGAAAAAGCATGAGACTGCGACAAACTAATCTATATAAATATATTTCCTTGTAGCTTATGATGACTAGCAACAAAGACAACACGCTGTAGATCTCTGCTATGGTCATCATGTCTTTTGACGTCAAGGTTATGTCATCAATATTTTATTTATGATGTGTGTGTTTCTGAGAGAAGTAAAACCACATATGAAATATTAATTTTGTGGATTTAAATAAAATGTGCGTTCGACTCCATGAGTGTGAAAAACGCAAATTGATAATCGGTTCTAACAAGTTGCCAATAATATTTCACTTTTGTTTTGAAATTCAAAATATCCAAAAATGTATGCTAATAGTTTCGTTTACGAATTAATTTTCATAAAATTTGCCAAATATTTTTGAATTTTAGATCAAATAAATATTAGTATGAAAGCTAATATATGTAAGATAAAAATCTTGTACACAGCAGAACTGTTGAAAGAATATTGTCATTCAATCCATTGAAGAGAAATAGAAATGGAAATGGACATATATACACTCGTGGTCATACAAAATTGATTGTGAACGCCCACATGTGAGATTAGTTCAGTGATCTTATAGCAGCAAGTTTCATTGAATATATTTGAAGTAAAAAGTTACTTATTTCTATTTTGTTTATTTTTATATTACTAATATGATTTATATTATATAAATGTAGATGTATTTATTGTCCTTTAGGCTATAAACTAGTAGAAAACATTTTAAGCAGCAGAGTTAACAGATGTGCGCGGTTTTTGCGAACCCCTTGAAAATAGTTTTTCATTCGTTTTTTACATAAAATTAAAAGAAAAATAGAAGGAAAGTATCAATAAATCTTTTTTGCTCGGTTATCATTTACTCTCAAGCTGTTAAGGCATCAATTCCGGTAATATATGTACAGAACTATTTTAAAGCAATCACTTATTAAACACTAGAAAATCAAAATTCCAGTGCTGCTAAAACTGTAGAAACAAACACTGTAAAAATAGAAGCATACCGTTAGGCGAGCTGAAATTTCCATTTACTTAGCACTTTAACTATTAACTAACATACAACCCAACTTTGTGAGGTACTGCCTTTATTTCCTTAAGCCTAGTACTAGCGTCCATACTAGCATCAAACTTCATATGGAAAAGAAATGACTGATATTGTACAGTCTTTTTTTATATGGAGTTTTATGCTCATATTTTATACGAAGTGGATATTAGTACTAATTTTTAGTTGGGATGGGTCTATGTTATGCAGGCAGTCCCATGACGAATGTTTCGGCTTCTTTTGTTCATAATCGAAATTTCTATTTTTCCTCATGCCCAATTTTTAGTTTATAATGAAAACAACAAAAATTTTATATTTAACGGAACCATGCCTGTCTGCATAACATAGTCAATAGTCTAAAATTTGATATTTTTTAATTCTTCGCTTATCAACATGTCGATGAATACTTTTTTAAACTTTATGAGTTTTATTAAACAAGTAATTAATTAAAATAATTGATGCACAATATGTATATTCTTTCAGAGAAGCACAGTACTTAAGAGAAACGTAAATAACCTTTACTCATTCTTTTAATTATATATTATTTTATTATTGACAAAGTAGGTGCGTTTTTCTGACTCAGATATAGTAAAGGGATAGATAGATAAATTCACGACATTATTTAAAAAACCTTTTTTTTAAAGCATCTTCTGTATGCTCTTCGATTTTTACCGTGTACTACAATTATTATGTTTAAAAGTTTTATGATGAAAACATAAAGCATGATGTCACATTTTGTTGGGTTTGATGTTTATATTGGATCTTTGTAAAGTTCCAATTAACGTCTTGTTATTATAATTATTAAAAAAAAAACAGTGCAATCAAATTTAAGGTAATAATAATCAACCTAGATATGATTTTATTTGCTAGAGAATTAAGTATGCACAATAACTATTAAGATATAATTGCTTACAAAATAAATTAAAAAAGTCATACATGATTACGAGGTATTAAATTTTAATCACACAGACTAGCATCCCTTACAACCAAAATATTTAACAAAGTTTATAATACAAAAGTTTACAAATTTTCTTTAACATATGATATATATAAAAACTCTATCTACAGTTTGCTGGATTTTTCTAATTTCGGTTTTGGGCCAAATCGTTTAATAAAATTGTTTATTGGTTCAATTACCAATTCAGGATTGTTCATATGTAAATGATGCGAACCGTCACATTCAAAATATTCAAAGTTCGGTTTTTTTGTGAGAATATCAAATACCTCATCATAATACTTTTTCTCTTCGAAATATGAAGAGTGTCGTGCTTTAATAAACAAGTATGGACATTCAATTCTTTTAGCCATTTCCACACATAATTCCTGTGAGCCTGCAGCATAGTTATAGAATTTTAATCTACGGTCACGGCAAAAGAAATATTTGTTTGGATATTTTTCCGATTTTTGTATGTGACGCGCCAGCATATGGTGGCAGATATTCTTATTCACTGAATGGAATGTACCAATGAAAATTCGTTCAATGAGTTCATCATAAGCGTAACTTGGCGGTTCAACATTGCTTCTATTACGTTCATCCTCACGTAGAAATTCATCCATGCGTGTTTCCATGGTACGTATGACACTGCTATATGGACGCTGATGCGGTTTTAGAGCATCAATAGCAATCACCATATCCACTTTATCTGGAAATACTGCAGCGAATAAGAAGCCAATAATTGCAGACATTGAATGACCAATAATTGAAACTTTTTCCCACTTGTATTGTTTCATGATTATGCGTATTATGTACAAATTGTCGACGGTATTGTAATAGCAACCATCTGGTAACCGAGAGGAAAGTCCATGACCAGGCAAATCAATTGATAGAAAAGCTACTTCTGGTGGGAATAGGGGAACTAATAAATCATATGTTCCTGCATTGTCCTGCCAACCATGCAGGCCTAATATAGGCTGAACTGTTTGTGGACCGTACCATTTGCCTGAAATGTGTCCCCAAGGCACTGGTATTGTTACTTCTGCAAACTAAAAATTCAAATATTAAAGGTCAAAGTTTAAGTCAAAGCACGCCAACTAATTACCTCACGTAGTGGCTTCTCGCCTGTTAAGTCACTTGCGTCACGATACCTATTCGTCATGACGAGAGTGTCATTATAGTTTGATGAACTATTGGACTCCATAATTTTGTTGTGCTGCAATTAAGTTACTAATTTAATTTTATTTTATAATTAGGTTTATGAACATTGGTTTAAGAGTTTGCTTATCTATTATTAAAATATGATTTAAGATTAGTTAAAAAAAACACAACTGAGTTAAGTGAAAAAAATCTTATCAATGCTCTTTATTTTATGAATTGTTTTCCTATGCCGCTAAGACTAAATTCACAAGAATAACTGACGTTAAGATACTTTAGAAAATTTTAATGGATAAATATAAACAAACATTAAAAATTTAAATAATTACTTTAATGAAGTCAAAACACCGACCAACTCACAACAAAGTCAAAACAATACTCGACATCCAAGCAACGTAAGTGATATGACAATATTGTGCTGTTCTCTTTCAAAGTACGCAAGAACAAATTTTATGCAGTAGAACACATAACAGAGTCGTGTTCAAAGTGCACATTTTCAGCAATATTTACCTTTTTGTATAATTACTATACACACTATATATATATTTAGTCATGAATAATTAATAGGTTAGGTTAGGTTATCAATAACATATATATTGCTTTTTTTAAATATTTTTTAATTCCACAAAGTAATAAATGATATATTATATTTTATCACAAATTGCAATGTAAACGAAGTATTCATACTCACTAAATTCATATTAAATAACTTAAATGTTATGCTATGTTTAGACTATTGCATATAATTCGATAAATATGCAATAATATGTGCCATATTCCCACAAAACATATTCAAAATTCATGTAAATATATGTTCGGTAGGCTCGATAAGTCTACATGTAAACGCAGTATAGTCTAAATTATGCTAAATAATTTATATAAAATTTTAAAACTTTAAACTTTCCATGTGAAAACATATTCAAAATTCATGTAAAAATATGTTCGGCAGGCTCGATAAGTCTACATGTAAACGCAGTATAGTCTAAATTATGCTAAATAATTTACCTAAAATGTTAAAACTTTAAACTTTCCATGTGAAATCTTTATACTATGTTCAGACAGCCAAATTTCCTTAATTTCATAAAATTGAAATTAAATTAATTTTGAAAGTGTTCATACTGCCCCAAACTAAGGAAATCATATGTTTTTTGTTTACAAAACGATTTTTAAAAATTGCATGTTCCAAACACCATTTTAAAAGTTGATTATTATAACTATAAAGTATGTCATTCAGTAGGTTTATTAACTTTAATGAATTTCAGGTATGTAAATTATTATTTTTCACTCTAACAGTTACAGTTTTTCCTCTATATTTAAATTTAAAAACTTGCACTACTTTCAAAATATTTTCCCGGTTTTATTCAAGTGAACAGTCACTGATATTTATTTTTAAAAAATGTCACATTTTAGTTATCTCAACTTTATCTTTTGAATAAAATTTATCTTACGCATTTCAACCTTCATTTCAACGAAATCAAGACAATTTTCCTAAATTTCGTTCCAACCTTAAAACTAAATTTTGTGTGGAAAACAAGCATAACATAGGATATTAAGATTTTTGCGAATTTAAAGTGTGTCTGAACATAGTATTACTAATTAATAACTTTTAACTGTCAAAGCAGTTGCTACTTTTTTACATGTAATTTTCAAAAATGTATGTAATTGTTTAACTTTTCATATATATATAAAAAATAAGAAATTTCTTTGTATTATTAAATCAAATTTTAGCACAAGAAAAGCACTCACTATTTATTAATTTAACACTTCAGCAATTTAAACAGATTTAAATTAAAATTAAAATGCTAAATTAAAATTGTGAAGACAATTTTAAAGTCACTTAAGTTATTTACTAAGTAAGCAGGGAGAACATACTATAAGTTTTCCTCTACCTTTACGTCGAAAACTGAAACTCGATTGTTTTCATGTTTGCCTCTCCACGACATTTCATTTACATGACAACTAATAGTGATAATAAATACATAAAATTTGAGAAAAATAATTATTTTACTTTCAACTTGAGCACGGCAACCCTATTTTGCCAATACATTGAACAACAAAAAAACAGTTGAGAAGAACTCTCAATTATTAATTTTGACGTATAATTTTTTTTTAAATATTTAATGTCACTGATTTATTAATAAGTGGAATCTGATTTAAACATTATTTATTTTTATTGAAATAATAAGTTGCATAAAGCTTTCGCAGTACTTATCGGTGTAAATATTGTATGGTTTCAAGGCCAATGTCAAAGAGCAAATGTAAAAGTGTAAATTAAGAGAGAAGTAATATTGGCCAAGATTGTTGATTTGTTTAATAATATACAAACAACAACTTGTTTAATTATGTACTAAAATAAGAAATTCGCGAAATATATAATCAGGTACAAAGTCCGAATGAATCAAACATACATTTTTTTATGAAATTAGTCAATCTGAATTTGTGATGTAAACTTTCATACGGACGTGTGAATTGCCTGACGACATTACGTGAGTTGCGTTGACGTCCAAGAATTTATGGAAATAAAAAATATTTATTAGTTTTGTGTAAGTCAAAAACAGTAATTATATTTTAATTAAAAAAACGTTATAAGTAAAAAGTGTATAGCTTTTATTGTGATAATTGTTGACATACATTTAATAAGAGAAGAACACAATGTGTTAAAAAGTGGCCAGTATTTGTATTTTATAAT